CTGAGATATGTGATGGCCTCAATGAGTATATGGTTTCCTTCCAAGGAGATAACAGGTTCAATTAGAACAGAGCTGGAAGAAACAGAGTGCAATAATGCCTGATGTGAAAAACACTAGTTATTATATCATCCAGTTTTTATCTTTTCCCATGATTTCTCTACCTATGATTTATTGTAAAGAGCAAAGAAGCTACCGTTTCGTAGCTATTATATGTAAACCACTTTGATTAGAAACAAAACACAAATAAAAAATAGATTCTGCTTTTCCTCTCTAGAATTTAGAACTGTGAAAAAAAGCAAAGAAGGGATAAAAGAACAAATACCTAAAACTGAAAAGCAGTATTTTTAAGAATTTAATAATGACACTATATTTACATGCAATAATTGGAGAGAAATAATATCCCTTTCTTTCCAAGWCATTGAAACAGTTAAGCATGTGTATATAAAAAAGTTAGAAAAACTTTCGGTCAAATTTATCAAAGGTTTACAGTTTGTTAAGTCTTATTTATTCTGCAAAGTAATTGGATACTTAAATTTATATTAGAGTTAAATCATTTTTTAAAGTCCTAAGGGCATTTGCTATTAAAAAAATCAAGAAATAACAGGTATTGACCAGGTTGTTGAGAAAAGCAATGTTATATACAATTAGGGGGATTATAAACTGGTATAGCCATCATGGAAGATTATGGAGACTTTTCAACAAATATAGAACTATCATCTGATTCAGCAATTTTGTTTCTGGGTACATAACCAAAAGAATGAAATCAGAATATTACAGAAATATCTGTGCTCCCATGTTTATTACAGCACTACTCATAATAGCTAAGGTAAGGATACAACATAACTATCTTGTTGATGGATAAATACATAAAGAAATTGTCATATATACATACACATTGCACATACATGGGTGGATGTATCTACAATGGAATGTTGTTCAGCTTTGAAAAAAGAAGAAAACCCAGTCTTTGTGACAACATTGATGAATCTAGAGACTTTATGCGTAGTGAAATATGCCAGATAAAAAAGAAACATACTGCATATTCTCTCTCATATATAATCTTTTAAAAAAAGTTGATATATACAAACAGAATAGAGGGACAGTTGGTTTGGGGGAAAGAAAGGTGTGGTTCAAAAAGTATAAATYTGCAGCTATAAAAGATGAAAAAGTATAGCAGTAATAAACACCATGAAGACTCTAGTTAATAATATTGTGAAGTACCAATGAAATTTGCAAAAAGAATAGATTTAGGGGCTTTCCCTAGTTGTAAATCTATGTGCAATAATGAGATTATGGATATGTTAATTTGCTTAACTGCAGTACCCATTTCACAACATATATCAAAATGTCACATTGTGTGTGTATATTATTTGAAAATGTATTTTCTTAAACTAGAATATTGTCTTTCAAAGTTAATTTTAGTATTGTTTCTACTTTTTCCTAGATATTTTTATCAAAATTTTCTAAATGGTGTTATTTTAAAAAAATATTATTTTTTCTATGTTAAAAAAATGGCAGCACAGTGAATGTTATCAGTAATTATTTAAGAAAAATAAAAATTACTATTTTAAAACTTTTAAAAGAGTTAAAATAATTTAATTTTACTCATTGAAGAATTTTTAGAACATAATGCATTGTGGAAACACTTTTTTTAAATGCTTATGCTATACTTGAAGTCAGGTGACATATTCAATTTTCTCCCATATAAAATATATTTTAATTTTCTCATTATTGTCAATTATATAATATAAAAATTTATTAGGCTATCTCAAGATAAAGTATAAATTAGTAAGATGTATTTAGATAACCTGAATCCATTGAATTGAATCTTCTAGAAATAATATTCAATTCTATAAATTATATTTGACATGCTACCAGACTATAAATAATATTGAGAAATAATATTCTAAATATATGTCAATAATTGCCCTAGTGTGACAATTAATTAAGTTACATGGGTATTTGAGCCTCTGTTTTCTAATTTACAGATGTGTTATTGAGCCTCGATTCACATCTACTTTCATAATTATGAGCAATAAAGACAACAAAGTGCTCTATTCCATTTCTTAGAAACTTGCTCATAATTAACACTAATTGCCCAACTCTTTTACATTTTGCAAGAATGCACATGATAAAAGCTTGCATGATTTTGCAGATTAAATTATATTTTTGCTGTTGTCTGGAAACAATTATATTTTACTCTATTTTTTAGCAATACTTGGTCTCTTGAATTCTGTGAATCAAGGGACAACATCATTCACATTTATTCAAGAAATTAAATGTCCACTACATGGCAGTAAAAAATGCAAATTAAATCACCAAATGAAAGAAATTGTGGATCTTGCTATACTTAGATTGATTCTTTAAAATATAAAGGCAAAAAATTGAGCCTTTAGGRATTACATAATGGAATTCAGCTCTAGGTTTCAGAGACACTGCTTAGGTACTTTGCATTGGATTATTTATTTGACTGTGAAGAATTTTCTTAGTGGGATGCCCTTAGATTCAGCATGGCCCCTACTTCCACACCTTCTTGGTCCTTTATATCCTGTTAAATTATATTGAATCACTTGGAATGTTAGAATTTTATAATAGCAAATCATATATCTGTGTAGAGATGTATTTGCTAATTTACCCCTTAAAGAAAAGGAAACATATTCTCCCTAGAAAAACACACAAACATGAATGTGTACACAGATTAAGAGGTGTGTAAACCTGCAGTGTGGGAGTACACCAGTCAACTCTATTCCTCCTTTAACACAGCACACCAGCAAGARGTCTTCTCTAGGATGCTTGAGGTTAACTCAGATTGCAGCTAAACCTGACCTGGAGGATTATCAGTCAACTGTTCTGTCTGGTGATTACAACTGTCTCAGAAAGGAATTCCCTTCACACCTAAATTAAATCCACAGAGATCTAGTGACCTCCTGTCCATCCCATTACCACTTCCTCACCCTTTCCCATCTGAGCACTTTCATGCCTATATTCATAGCCAAGTAGTTGCCAGCTAGCACACATCTCATTTCCTGTTTTCCTCCATTAAATACAAATATGAACCTCTGTTAAGAACTTCTCACCACATCATTCCCATTCTGTTCTGTTTCTTCCCCCTGATTTAAAGCCCACCTCACCTCCTTTCTTGCCATCCACAGCACTCAATACACACCTTCAGATGCCTCCTCTGAATGCCTAGGATCTCATTTCCACAGTTAGTAGAGAAAGGGCATTCCTTGGTGCCTGTCAAGGTAAGGCTGTTGACTCCCATTCCAAGATACTTCTTTGTCTTTTTTCTGAGCTGCTCCTAATAATACACTTCCTATTAAAGTCCCTTCCCTTAGGAGGCTCATTTCTACAAGGTAGAACATCAACTCTATGAATTCCTACCACCAGTTGTGTCACCAGTGTCTAAGTACAATGCTTTTATGCAATAACATGCCTCCTTAAAATGTGCCTTTGCAAATCATAAGTTTAGACATGAAATGTGCATGGATATTTCTTGCTTAGTATTAGTGTAGAAACTCTATTCTATAATTCTACTTGGTGTTGAATAAAAAAATCAATAACCATATAATAAACTGCACTTACAACAATGCTTTCTTCTATTAGAAAATACAGTTTAAGTTACTTTAATATCATTAAAATTGATTTCTGAGAAAGTCTATTTCTTCTCAGCATCCTCAAGCTAAATATCTCTAACAATATCCTACCTTACAACATTTTTAAATTAACTAAGACACCCAAATTTGTGTTGGTTATATTTTTATCTATACAGCATAAATATTATTTATGCACTTGGTTGCTTAGTACAACAAAGTCCTAGAGTCAGAAGCAGACTAAGTATATTGTGTAATTTACACTCACAGAAATCTTTTCCCCAGCCCTGTCTACTAATAATATTGAAGACACACATGTCAGAACTTTGAATTATTGTTTGTATAACCCTTAAGCTAAAGATGTTTCCATAACACCTTTTCCAGTATATCCAAGACAAAAGTTATACCTCAGTGTGTATCTTTTTGAAGATATTGAAGCAACTTTTCAACCAACTGAGAAAAGTATGCATACATTAATTTTAACTTTGAAAAAAACCAAAATGTTCTACTTAAGGTCTGCTTTTAGCATTAACTATAAAATGTTAGATTTGAAGAGCTTAGGGGATGCTCTTTATATTTTATTTTGCCATTGTTATCTTAGTCTATGATCACACTGTGCTGGGTCTTGCTTAGATAGTTTTAACAATGACTATTGGCTACACAAAATAACATTTGACCTAAACTTTTATATTTAAAAATTTATTGTTCCAGTTTCAGAGACCACACATTCCCTTCTCTGTTTCTCTCTTCCCTTTCCTCTATCTTCCCTTCTGCCTCTCATCTTTTTTTTGTTATTTGTTTGTTTCAAAATTAGATCTATATTTATTTTCCCCTTTTTCACATTTAGTAAATGTAGCTTTAGTATAGATAAAGTCAAATGAGTTTTGTAGGCATATGGCATTAGTGACTCATTTTAGATATATTTTACTTTTAGAAATTTACAACCAAGTACWTAATTTCTTGACTGTAACTCAAAAACATCAAACCAGGATTTCCTGATGTTATTTTTTGCCATTGACAACTTTGGGCCTAATAAATCCCATCTTTTTAAATATTAAAATCCATAAAAATACAAAAAAAAATTGATATCATTACAATAAATGTGTTTCCAAATATACTTTGTGAATGAGTCTGTGTACATCAGGGTAAGCTTAGAAAATTCAAATATATTTATTTCAATTATTCTTGAGCATGAAAAACCAGGACTCAATAATGAAGGAGGAAATTATGTCAAAGTGCATGTGATTTCATCTTAAATATATTACATAACTTGGACCAAAAGGAAAAGCAAAATATATTTTTGTAATGTGATTGTTTAAAACAGTGATTTAAGCAAATATTTAGAAATGCATTTTGGAGATGGGGGAAAAAGGGAATAAGACAAAACTAGAATGAACTCATTCATACCTTTATGGCAGTGGATGCAATTTGAATGTGGTGAAGTCTCCGAAGAGTGCTGTCCCTGTCAATGAAGTAGGAAGCAGCAAGTTGATGGAGGGTCTCCAGGGTAACAGAAGAGCTGTTGGTGCTGGTATCGCTTCCTTCCGATCGCTTGCTCAGCTTCCGCTTGTCCACAAAAATTGTGAGTGACTCCTCTCCTGCATTAATAATAGTTCAAATTATTTCCATTTCCACATAAAACCATATTTCATTTATCTGCAAATGAATGAGCATGCTTAGAAAGCAAAAACTTTTGTAATTTTTWAAAAAATTTATGAATATTTCCAAATACCTAGAAAAGAGGCAGGGATGTTAAAGGTTTTAAATACACAAGTATAAATATAAATTTGCAGAATAATTTCTCTGGATTTTGCTGAAATCCTCATGTAGTAAAACTTACCTAATTTTCATATGACACAAAAGCAAATTAAGATTTTACAAAATGAACTTAGGTAGAGTTGTGTGGAACTGTATAAATCCAGAAATATTTTACCACTGAACAACCAATCAAAACAGAAACATGAAGAAACAGAAGTTTTCAATTGCACCTTTAAAGTGTACAGAAACTATTTATTCATAAATATAGTTATAAAATATATGAAAGAATTCAGAAGTTCCTTCCATATGATGTATTAAAATATAGTACATTAAATAAGCTCTATGGAAATCACTAAACTCCATGAAAAATGTAGATACTGGCAATGAATTCTCAATTGTGAAACTTAAAGTATGTTACAATTCAGCTACATTTTTCAGTGTTCAAATGTTAACAAAAAATATCCATGTCACTTAAGTTAGATAAGAAGAACTCACAATCCTTAGACTTTATACTTTTGGATATTCATCTTGCATGTAATTGTCAAGCTTGCWTCTCTCTCTTGGGAGCCCATCTGTTCCACTGGCATTATGCCCATATACAAATTGACAAGCTAGTTTATAAAAGGCCAAATAAGATCATCTATTTGAGTAGTTAACATTTCCCCTCTATCTTACAAAAGGTACCACTTGTAAAATGACATAGTTCAGGTGATAAAGCCAGTTCTAAGAGCATCTGTGTCTCTATAAGAGATGAGGTCAATCCATATCAGAGTAAGATGTCAACAAACATTCATGAAAATTACATTCCCAGTTTTGTATGCGGACCCTAACATGCACACTAGAAGTCAAACACGCCAAATAGAATAGCCAAAGAAAAATTGTCAAGAATATGAAATAAGGGAGTCTAACTGTGACAGCATTAGTTCATGTGAACAATGAACAGTTTTGGGGTGGGAGCTTCAGAGTGTGAAAGGATGTATATATAAAATGCTATAGAAACAAAAAGCCCCAACAATCATTCATTACCAGTAAAGGACCAAATAGTGTGGAAATTGGATGACCATTGAATATGAGAAAAATTCACCCTTATGCCACATTTTGAGATAATTCCAAAACAAATACACATCACAGGGTTGTGTGGATCCAAGAACTCCTAACACAGTTCTATCACTAATGCAGGAAGGGTGTCTCAGAAAGATTAAAATTAAAAGGAAAATCTAAATAAAAAGGAAACAAAGCTCATAATTCTGACCTGAGATCTTACAGAATTCAGGCCAAAAATTGTTAAATGAGGAAAAAGAACAGTTCTAAGTGTGCATTTCCTTGAGACCCGAGAAACTGCTTTAATAACACTTTTCATAGAGCAGAAAATACAGGGACAATAGATGTGCACTGCTAATATTTGAGACTTTAATACACCTATCTTATCTTGAGGTGGCTAAAAAAAAACAATAAGCAAACAAAAACTGATAAAAGAGCTCTATACAACCTGGTCCTTAAGAACTTATAGGTAAATATTGAACATTATATTAATAGTAGAGGCAAAAATTTACTTTAAAGTASTTATATTGAAGTAAAAAAAGCTCATTTTCATAAATTGATGTTCAAGAATATGAGTTTCAAGAGTACACAGAACATGTGCAAGATGATGGTAAACTTTATTACAAATAAATTCTTTGTAAATTAGAAAAATTTGAAAAGCAAATATAGTATCATTCACCAACTACCATAATATAAAACTAAAATTTGATAAAAAATAAGATTTCTATGTAGATAGAATCCATATAATATTTTAATATGGGATAAATGAAAGTGCAATTATAAATTTTCAAGAAAATCATTACACCAGAATATAAAGGATTAAGCTAAGGCACTGCTCAGAGAAATATCCATAACCTTAACTACACATTACATACATTGTGAAAATAAAATATTAACTACATAACTAAAAGTAAAGGAAATATGACAAAAACAAGACTATGTAAAATAAAAATCAATTGCTAAAGAAATAAAGCATGTGTTAATGAGTTTTTTAAAAAATAGAAATTATAAATCCCAAAGTAGCAGGTTTCAGAAGAAAAACAAGAAAATATGGCAACTAGTAAACCTATTTTTTTT